ACCCTCCACCTACGGGACAGCAGCACCCGTCCTAGCGCGGCGTCGCCCAGCCCCTACCACACCGCCCCGTACAGCCCCCTGCGCGGGGCCGAGTCCCAGCCGCCTGGCCCATGGGGTCACTGCATCCCTCCACCGACGGGACAGCAGCACCCGTCCTAGCGCGGCGTCGCCCAGCCCCTACCAGCCCGCCCCGTACAGCCCCCTGCGCGGGGCCGAGTCCCGGCCGCCTGGCCCATGGGGTCACTGCATCCCCCCACCGACGGACCAGCAGCACCCGTCCTAGTGCAGCGTCTCCCAGCCCCGCTGGGGTGTGGTGGGTTCTCCAGCAGGGACAGGTTTTCCATCCAGGCTGCAGGTTTTTCTACCAGCTCTGCTCTAGGAATTAGTGTGGGGCAGGTCTCTGGCCTGTGGCACACAGGAAGTCAGACGTGATGATCACAAGGGCCCCTTGGGGCCTTGGAGTCTATTTGATGTTAAAGTCAGCATATTTTCTGCTCCTCCAGCATTTCCCATTGTCACCGTACTGTAGGACTGTGTGCTAACACCCCCAGAGGGATCTGCTGGACGAGTGTGGAAATGGGAGCACTTGGAGGTGGGAAAAAGGAGAAGGCAGGTTGGGATTGTAGGAGAAGCACATTCGATGGATGTTCTTATTAAAACGATGAGCCGCAAACAGCTACCACTGTTGGCAGGCAATGGCCCTCCTCAGGGTTCAGAGTCAACTCCCCATTGAGATGAATGCAGTGGGGCGCCCCCATCAGGGCTACTGTCTCAGGCGACCTGCTGCCTCAGACAGACAGCTCTGAGTCCGTTACACTGGGCTGATGGTTGCAAATTTTCTTCACATCTACAAGGGTTAGGAGGTCTGAAGCTCATGGAGCTGTGCTGATTGACCCAAGCTGAGAGCCTGGCCCGGAGCTGCTATACAAGAGCTTAGCAATTCCTCAGCTGTGGACCAGATCCCAGTCCCTATAGCCTGCAGTAGGGGCAGCCCTGAGCCCCCCCAGCCTTAGGCTGTGGCTCTCAGGGCTACGGTCCCACTGCAGAAGGCTACCAGGGTTTGTTTCCATCTGTTTATTTCATCCTCTCCCCCCATAGTCTCTGTTTTAGGGAGTTATTGTCCCTGAATGGCATCACTTGCCCATGCTGCGGGCCTCTGGGATTCCTCTCTCCCTGGGGACCCCCTGGCTCCAGCTTAGACACAATTCCCAGGCTGGGGCCTGCAGAGCCTGCTTTGGGAAGAGAATCACCGGCTGGGGGGCACGGCCAGATCCTCCAAGCTATTTACTTACCCAAGTCCCATTGGGAATTAGGCACCTAGACATCTTGGAGGATCTGGGGCTCAGTGCCCAGCTCTGACCCTGACAAAGTCCCTCGGCCCTGTGCAGGGGAAAGGGGGAGGGGGGGCAGAGGGCTCCCCAGGGAAGGATTTGGGCTCAGCCTCTACACTAGAATCATTTTTAAAGGTTCATTTCACTGTGTGTGAAGTTATACAACTACTGAAAACTGGACTGGCTGGAGGGGAGAGGATGGCCTGTGTCTGAACCATGGAGGTACCAAGGCAGTGTCTGAGGTCACAGGGTGACATTTGTTCTCTGATAAAAAGCAAATCTAGAATTCCCTAATGCTAGCCCCTTGCTGCTGCACTGCCCCCCCCAGCCCCGCCCCTCCCAAATCCTCCTGGCGGGTCCCTGCCAGACAGGGGCTCTCGCTGCAGAGGACTGGAGCTTAGCTGGAGGGATGAGGGCTGGAAATAGATTGGGAGTTACTGGAGGGAGGGACCAACCCTTTGTGCTGCATTTGTACAGCAGCTAGTGGGGTCCTGGGCCGGGACCAAGGCTCCTAGACACTACAGCGATAGAAATCAAATAATTGTCACCATCACGGAAGAGCTGCCCCTCTTTGGAACATCACAAAACAGCCCAGCTCATCACCGCCTCCTTTGCAAATAGCTGGCCCCCGTCCTCACCCTGCAGAGGCACCAGCACGGATCCCTCGTGCCTGTCTCGGTGAGTCTCTTGCGGTCATTCTGCCAATTACATCTGCTCAGCCGGGGAGAACGAGACTGCAATGTCCTCCAAGGGCACAGAGGGGGTCAGCTCAGCGCCTCGTGCCCTGGGCCCAGCCGGCTTGGGTTCTGTGCAGGGGAGGGGGGCAGAGAGACCAGCAAGGCCCAGGCCCAGCCACCTTAGGCACGATGTGGGGTAGGGGTGTGTGGGACGCACCTGCAGAAGCCCAGGCCGCAGCGCAAACCCCAGCCCCCCATCCATGGATCCCCCCAACCCAGCTGCCCGTCTCCAGCTCCAGCCTGTGAATATACAAGGGACAGTAACTGAGTAACAGTGACCCCAATAGAACCAGGTTCAGCAGCCTCTGGCGCTAAGCTACCTAAAAATGACACGGGGACACGAAACTTTAGAAAGAGAGATTGCAATAAAAAGGAGGTCAGTCAAAAAGGCCCTCTGGGGAAAAGTAACGTCCTTAGAGGTGGCATGGATGCTACTTAAGAAGGGAATAAGAGTATCACAAGACGTGGGCCATGAACAAAACAGGGAACCAGGAAGGCAAAGACTAAACTAATAGGGCGAAATGGCAGGGGCAAGAGACTAGTTAAGTCACACAGAAACCCTTCAAAACTCGGCAATTGGACCCTATCAAAGGCAACAAATAAGAGAAGAGGGGACCGTTAGATCATCTAGTCTGACCTGTATAGCACACGCCCTAGAATTTCACCCACTTACCCCCATGCTGAGCCCAGTCGTTTGTGTTTGGCTACACTATCCTCCGGCAGGAATCCAGTCTGGATTTGAAGACATCGAGATGGAGAATCCATCACTTTCATTGGTAGTTTGTTCGGTGGTTAGTCACCCTACTGTTAACTTTGGCTTTAGTTCTAAGTTGAATTTGCCTGGCTATACATTCCGGTCACTGGTTCTTGTTCTGCCTTTCTGCACGAGATGAAAGAGCCCTTCGGGATGTGATATTTTGTCTGAGTAGATCTTTACGTTCAAGTCTACAGCTTGATCTTTTTGTTAAACTGCACAGACTGAGCTCTGAAGGAATTTTTTCCAGCCCCTGAACCACTTGTGACTACTGCTTGTAGAATGTAAATGGGAAACGGGTGACCCAAACTCGCCTTCTTAATCCAAAGTACTGTATAATATCGGCCACTTGGGTTGGGCCATCACACAAGAGGGGAAGAGGATTCTCAACTCTCCCCGACAATTTGATCTAGGAACAAAGAACAACCTAATAGAAAAAGGATTTTAAAGCACTAAGGAGCCTATACATCTCTCACCTAAAGCCTCATCGCATTGGGATGGAAGGCCAAGCTTCTTCGGAGGGCCACACACAGACATCTGTTTGGTGGGCAGAGACTCTTTAATGTCCTTTTTCCACGACACCTCCTAAAGATAAGGTCAGGATGACAGGGTGAGGGACAGAGATGTTTGATGTACAAGGTAAAGCGTAGTAACTACCATGTTGGAGGGGCAATATGTAACTTGTTTGTGTCAGTGTATAAAAGAAGGGTCAGAGAGGGGGTGTCTTTGTCCAGCCGAGGGGGGAATGGAAAGTCCCGCCACTCACTGAGCTGGTCCATTGTCACAGACATCCATGTGCTAGTGTACCTGTAGACATTGATCCGGGGAGCTAGGATTGTGCTTCGTCGACAATAAACCTGGCTAGGTGCCTTCGCTACAAAGCGAGTCTTGTGGTCATTGTGGGCTGTTTGATGGCCGTGTGCTCTGTCGCTAGCCGCATAGAGCTGGGCCAGCACACAGAAAGAATCCACACACGCAGCCAACAACTAACAATGGGGAACTTCTGTTCTCCCTTTGTCATAACATAACAAGGGACATTCAAAGAAATGAAAGAGTGGCAAACTGAAAACTGATCAAAAGGAAAGACTCACACAGTACGCAATTAACATGTGGAACTCATGACAGCAGGATGCTGTTACGGGCAAGAATTTAGAAAAGGTTAAAAACATTTATTGAACGAAGATATCCAAAGTTATAATTAATACTAACAGATATTTTGAAGGGATATTAAACCTTGTACTTCAGGGTTTAAGCAATTTTCTAATGATTAGGATGAGACCTAATATTGGCCAGGAATGGGGGGGCGGGAAGATTATCCTACATTTGCCTAGTGTGCAATTCTTACACCTTCCTCCGATGCATCTGGTGCTGCTCACCGTCAGAGCCAGGACACTGGGCTGGCAGGACCTTGGGTCTGATCCAGCGTGATCATTCCTGTGTCAATGGGAGTTTTGCTGGAGTACAGGCTGGGAAAGCCCTTCCAGCTTCGGGCTGGCACACATGAGCTGCTTCCACCTCGTGTGGACACTCTGGTGTTTTTGCAGCGTCCCCTTGACAGTGAAGCGCTTCCCGCACTCGGTGCA